CTCCAGGAGGCTGGCAGCCGGGGAGCAGGGGCCAGTGGCAGCTCATCCCAGACTAACCCACTGAACTTGTCCCCAAGATCCCCTTTTCTTTGGCTTCTTAGTGAGCAAAGCAGCCCCTCCTCGGCTCACTTCCCCACCTAGTGTCTCTCCTGTTGCTTCTTCTGTCTTAGATCCTTCCTGTTTCACTGTCCCCGGCTTTAATAAACTTCCTCTAAAAATCACCTACACTCACGTTGTGAAACCTTACCTGCATGAAGGCAAGAACCCACACACCGCCGCCTGCCCTATGCAGACCAGCTCAGGGCCAGGTCCCCCTTCTGGGAACAATAGGAAATACTGCCCTGGCCGCCCTGGCCGGTGCGACTCGGTTGAGTGCTGTCCCATGCTCTGAAAGGTCCGATTCCCAGTCAGGACACGCAACCGATCGATATTTCTCTCCCATCAGTGTTGCTCCCTCTCTCTCCCTATCCCATCCTCTCAACAGAAAAAAAAAAAAATCAATAAAAACATATTTTTAAAATATATGAGGTACCTAGAGTGGTCAAATTCATAGAGAGGAAATTGAATGGTGGTCGGGGGGGGAAGGGAGAAATGAAGAGTTGTTTACAGAGTAGAGAGTTTCAATTTTGTAAGATGAAAAAGTACTGGAGGTCGGTTGTACACCGATGTGTACTTAATACTCCTGAACTGTGCACTTAACAATGCGGGTGTGCAAATTCACACAACCACCCAGCATCTGCGGGACTCTGTGAAGTCAGGGTGTGTGGACGCTATGGCCTAGGAGCCCTGCCTCAAGCAGAAGTCTCCGACAGCCCATATGGGACCCTGTGAAGACGTCCCTAGCGGTGATGTGTGTGACGTGATGGGGGCCTCGGGCCACGCTCAGTGTGGTCACTTGGTGGGGATGGCGGACAATACCAGTGAAAGCACTGGGCGCTCAACATGCAGCCAGAAGAAGCAGCAAAGGAGACGCATGTGGAGAACATTGGTATCGAGGGTAAAAACGCACAAATGTCCACAACAGAATGAGTGTCCTACATGACACCATGTTCGTGACATGGGAGCACATCCACATAAGAAGAGCCAGTGTCACGGGTCGTAGAAAGCCAGGCAGGCTTCAAGGACACGGGCTGAGCCCACGGACGGAGGGAAGATGGGGAGAGGAAGAGGGAAATGGTTCAGAGTGATGATGTGTCACAAACAGACATGACTGACTCAGCTCCGTGTCAACAGAATAAAGTGGGGGGCCGGGTGGAGGAGGATGAGCACCCCTGGAGCTAGGGGCCTGCGTTCAAACACCTTCTCCCCCTTGCACGCACTGGGGATTTTACCAAAGCCCACATTCATGTCTTACACCAACGGTTACTGAGCATGTACTCGGTGCCCAACGCTGTGCTGGGCACTGCAGACACAGCGGTGAGTAAAAGGGTAATTCAAGGCAAGTGCCGGGTGTGAAACTGAAACGGACTACATTGCAGGGAAAGGGACGGCTTCC